GCCCTGTGTTCAATACTGCCCAAGATAGACTTTTTATTTTATGGTCTGTTTATACACATATGCATATTTGCATGCTTCAGGAACACAGTAAATACAAAAGAAATATCTTTTACAAAAGGTTAGCATCAGATCCTCCCGTGCTAATAGTTTTACAAGCAGCAAGGGATCACCAGCATTTTCAATATTAAGCAAGTAGTTCAACGTCTTTCCACGTGATGTTTAGAGTCTTTAAATCTTCCATGAATGTTCTTTGCCATGTATTTTGAGGATGTCCTCTTCATTGTTTGGTATCAGTGGGGGAGATCCATTTCATTGCCATTAACAGACAGTAGAATATATAGAATGGAAGGAAAAGCTCCGCTATTCTAATAAAGGTCTTTACAAAGTGTTGAAAAATAACACAATCACAAGTGTGACAGAATCCCTAGTTGACGATGGTTCTTTTAAAGCAGGGGTGGGAAACTATGGCCCTTTTACAGTCTGTGTACTTCGACTCCCAGAATTCTTGAATCAACTATGCTGGCTCAGGATTTCTGGAAGTTGAAGTTCACAAAGCATAAAAGGACCATAGTTCCCCACTGTTTTAATTTAAAAGAATAAACCAATTCTTCATTTGAGTGTTACATCAGGGATTGTATGCACAGAAGACATGAAACTTTAGCTCACCAGCAGGTAGCAGTCAGAGAAGGGACTTGATATGCAGGGGGTACAACTGTGGCTTATTTAAACTGGAAGGGAATTTTGGGGATCTTGCAGAAGATCCAGAAAGCTACCTGGTCCCCAAGTTTAGAAACAGACTAGGACAGAGGTGTCAAACTGGATTTCTTCGAGGGCCGGATCAACATTGCAGTTCTTCTCCGTGGGCCAGCTGGGGGACGGGCTGGATCCCTCCTGCAGCACCCTGTGGCCAAAATGGGGCACGGCTCCCCCACACCCCATTTTGGCTGCCAGGGGCACTGCGGGCCGATCCTTTGCTATTTCCAGGCTGGGCCCATGGGCCAGATTTAAGCACCACGCGGGCCGGCCAGATTTTGACACCCCTGGACTAGGAGAATTAAACATGGCCTAATAATAATGATGTTCTTTCCTATTTTATTTTTTCTTCCTTTGTTCAAGAATCCTCAAAAGAACAACACAGGTTGGTGTAAACTGACTTGTCCTGAAGGAGCACAACAGCTTTTCCAGATTGATCATCCTGGGCCCTATGAGAGGTACTTCTGGAAAATTTTAGGAGACTCACTCAAGCTCAACTTCTCTAAAACTGAGGGGGTGAAAGTTGTTTTACAAATTACTTTAGCAGCAAAGTCCCTGTTTTACATATGGCAGATGTTAACATAGTTGTATAGTTGTTGATAAATGGCTGGAGTACTTTTTCAAGAATTACGTTTGTTTTCTCCAGACTTCTTTGTGTTATAACACAACTGTTAAGATTTGTGCAATCCTTGTATTAGCAGAAAATCGCCAAAATAAATAAATAAATAAATCCTTCTGCAGCTGCCAAAATGGTTTCTAAGATCAAACACTCAAGTCCCTTCTATTCCTTATGTCACCATCACTGTCATATAGCCCTCATCCATTCTGCTGATAAGTCCATAAAAGTTACTGACCCTCCTGCATTTTTATTCTGCTCTTTATTTTTTACTATTTTTACTAACTTGGTTATTATTCATAAGATACTCTACATTTGCCATGAGTCCTTAAAAGCTGTTTCCCATGTACACCAGATTCAACAAAACATTTTTCTTTAATGCAGATATATCACAACAGTGGTGGAATGGTGCAAAAGCCTGAACAGAGATAAAGGGACGTGTACCAATACAAAAGAATCTATTCAAGAACAAAGCTGGTATTCTTCTTAACTAATAAACCAGAATATTCTCAAATCTGCAGTGTTGCTTTGTAAAGCCACCCATTGGATTTATTATCTTGGATTTGATATTCCAAGGTTCTTTTTCCCCCTTTTAAATAAAAGTATTTTTTCTGCAAATTAGTAGCAAAATGTAACTTTCTAGCAATTCCTCTTTTTTTTGTAGAAGTACATTAAATAGAAACAACGAAATAAAGTGAACTGTTAATGTTCACTTTTTAGAGGGCCATTCTATTCTACCTTATTTTGCTAATGTTATATCAAACAAGAAAATGTTCATTTTAATTAGGTTTCTCTTTTTTCCCGTAGGTCAGTTGCGACTGAGCTCGAAAAAATAAGACGATTCAATTGTATCCTTTTGTACATCTTATAAATCCTCACAACACTTCTTAAAATAAGTAATTCTTGGTTTGAGACATCCAATTATTGCCCTATTGGGAACGCTAATTCAGTTTTCCAGTCAATAAAATAGCTGGAAACAATAACATCCACATGGTATAGACTTTGTTGTGATGATATTTGTTATGTCATAGTTATTAACTATGGATTTTCATTCTTATTTAATGAAATACTCCAAAGAAAGTTCTAAATTGTGATGTGTATATTTAGTTGTGTTCCAAGTTCACAGTCAAAGGGAAGTTTTTATAAAAAATTTATATACATGCATATTGGCATTGCAGAATACAGGTTACAAAAGTCAACAAGTTCCTTCTAATTTGATTAAGAGAAGAGAAAAGTGGCTGTTTTTAGTATCATGTTTCTCCTTAACTACATACTATAGTTTTAGTCGAGAACAGCAATATTCCAGGTAGGATTTCAACTGTGGGAAGAAATCTGTCATCCGACATAGATACAGGAAGTGCATCAAAAGAAGTCTTCTTGGCAGAGGATGTCAGTATCAAGAACATAACTGAGTCTCTGGAAAAAACTTCAAAAGTTATAAATGATATTGACTCTCTTCTGGCTTCTTCCACAAAGCATGCTGGAGTCAAAACTCTTTCAAGGAAGATTGTCCGTCTTTAATCTGACTGAAAAAGCAAAGGTCACTAACTTCACAGATGATTATATAAGATTTATATAAATTATGACATCATAATTTATTTTTTTAAAGACTAAATATTAGAGTCCAAAGAAAAGTGAAATGTGGCTTCACTGAGATACCCAAATAAAATTTACCATATATGGACTATTGACTTATTTTTTGAACAGTTTCTCAATATTTTTCAAAGTCCACAAATAGGCCTAACCAAGACAATATGTTCTAATCAAATTGGCACAGTGCTTTATTGTTTGATAAGTAAATTGCAGTCGTGTTCTGTTGTGGGTTTTTTTCCCCCATGTCTTTTCTATATCAGAGTTGTTTCTTTGATGATGCCAAACACAGATTTAAAAGTGAGTATTCTACATTCAAAAGCAAACATTGAATGAGGCTCTGATTTAGCTTTAAGTAATTTCTCACCTGTTTATTTGTTCATCAAATTTCTACACTGTTCATATCATTTAGAATAGAATAGATACCTATTTCAGACATCTGAAGACCTTGCTCTCTTGAGAAATCTGTCATGCTGCAAAAGGTGGAAGGAAGGAGAAAAGGAAGGCTAGCAACAAGGTGGATGGACTCAGTTACAGCGGTAATGAATGCACGGTTGGAGTAGCTGAAACATGGGAAAATATATGGTTGCTAAAAGTCTTGATGGCACATTATCAGTCAAGCAGCTCTCAGATCATGGCGCATACTGTCTTTGTCAAATAGCCTCTGGTCTCAGGTTGCACAATTTATTTATTTTTATTTATTTATTTGATTTGTCAATCGCTTACAAGATAATAGGTATAAGTATATACATAGTTATGAATACATGAAATGGGTACATATAAGAAAAATAAAAGAAACAATAGGACAGGGACGGTAGGCACGTTGGTGTGCTTATGCACGCCCCCTACAGACCTCTTAGGAAAGGGGTGAGGTCAATAGTAGACAGTCTAAGGTTGAAGTTTTGGGGGTTTGGGGAAGAAACCACAGAGTCAGGTAGAGTATTCCAGACTGACCACTCTGTTGCTGAAGTCGTATTTCCTGCAATCAAGTTTGGTGCGGTTAACCTTGAGTTTGTATCTATTGTGTGCTCTTGTGTTGTTATGGTTGAAGCTGAAGTATTCATTGACAGGTAAGTCATTGCAATGTATGATTTTATATACCATACTTAGATCAGGCCGAAGACGGCGTAATTCAAGGTTTTCTAGTTCTAGAATTTCAAGTCTGGTGGCATAAGGTATTCTACAACAAGTAGAGGAGTGGAGAACTCTTCTTGTGAAATATTTCTGGACTTTCTCAACTGTGCTAAAATCAGATACGTAATGTGGGTTCCAGACTGATGAGCTGTATTCGAGTATTGGTCTAGCAAATGTTTTGTATGCCCTAGTTAGTAGTGTGATATTACCAGAGAAAAAGCTACGTAGGATTAGGTTAACAACTCTTAATGCCTTTTTGGCTATGTAGTTACAGTGGGCTCTAGCACTTAGATCATTAGAGATGAGTATTCCAAGGTCCTTTACAGAGCTTGGATCATCAACAAGGTCTTGACTTGTATTTTATTTTCTGATATATTTTTTTGCCAATATGTAAGATGTGTTTGGTGGATCTAAGCAGAGTCAGGCTGGATTAGTCCTTGGATGGGAGACCACAAGGAAATCCCAGGGTTGCAAGTTTGCTTTGAAAATAAGACAAAAAAAAAAAACCACCTTACATCCTGGAGGAAGGCTGTGCCAAACCCCTTCAATAACATTGCCAAGAAAACTGCATGAAAATTTCCACGCAGTCTCTACGAATCTCCGTACCTCTTTAAAAAAAAACACACACACACACACACACCCTGAAACGTCAGTTTTTCATAAAACGAAAAGCGAAACCCAATGGATAGACTTAACAACAGCGACTATCCCTTTTTATTTCCCAGGCCTTTTAAAAAAAAACGCCTCATTTTTCAGCTAGCCCCGACCTGCCGCACACGGAGGCTGATGCCAGAGGGCGGGGACGGGGAAACACCAGCGATGGGATGCCCAGGTGCGGGGAGGGAAATGAAGAGACAGGGAGGTTGGTGGGCGGGGCTTCTGATCTCCGCAGCCCAGTGGCCGTCCCAGAATGCTCCGCGCGCGCGTTTGCCGCTGAATGGGGCGCCTCGGTTGGGGCCGTTGGGAGGTGAGTGGGTCGGAGGGGGCCGCGGCTGTGGGGGCCAAACAACGGGGCCCGCAAATCCCCTGAAGCCGGGATCCCTTTGGGGCAATTCGGAAGGGCGCCGAGGCTGGGGAGAAGAAAGCAGCTGCGTGCGGAGGAACGCCTCGTGGGCGAGAGGGAGGGATGCGAGTGGGGCGCTCAGCTCTTCCCTCCTGAGGGTGACAGGGAGGGTGGGGTGGGGGGGTCTCCGGCTTGTTTTCCAGGCAGACATTCAACAGGGGGAGTCTTCGCTGCGCTCAGCGGCAGGAGGACGCTAGAGGACGGGCAGCGGTCAGCCGTGGCTACGAAGTCTTCCTCCCCCGCCTCCATCTCTGCATCTTCGGCACTTGGCCGGCTGAGCCTCCTGTTGTGTGGACCGGCTTGGGCCGTTCTGGCCGGCGAGGCCTGTGGGGGAAGGGTGATTAAGGCTGTGTGGGGTTAATGGTGTGGATGTTTATATCTTAGGGAGATATAACAAGGGAGCAGCAACAGCAGCAGCCGCCAGCCGGCTCTGATTGATTCGGTTTAATCTCAGAACTAAACCGTGGATGCTGCAAGGTGGAAGGAGGACTGGGGTCTCCGGGGCCCTGAACTAGATTGGAAAGCTTACAAAAAAATAACAAAAGGCAAAAGCCAAAACCACTTGAATGGTTGCCACAAAAGCTACCTGGACAATATAAAGTCATAGGGCTCCAGCTTGGCTCAAGAAAGACTTTACCGTCAGGTAGAACTCCAGTGCATTAAATTGACAGAACAATTAACCAGTGGAACGCCTTGCCTCCAGAAGTTTTGGATGCTTCAACACTGGAAGTTTTTAAGAAGAGATTGGATAACATTTATCTGAAGTGGTATAAGTCTGAGCAGGGGGTTGGACTGGAAGACCTCCAAGATCCCTTCCAGCTCTGTTATTCTGTTATAAGTATTTGCCCTGCAGATTTCTTGGATTTGAATTCACAGCCAGCATGGGAATGGGTGAGATGGGATATACAACATCTGGAAGGCAATAGGATGAGAAGTGAAAGGATGTTTAATTGTGCTGTGGATTCCTACCTCATCTTCCCTTCTGTCAGGTTTTAGATGATAAGAATCATAAGTTCGCAAACTCATTTCTTATATTGTGTAAAGCAGTGTTTTTCAAACTTGACAATTTAAGTCAATTTAAGTCCATATAAGGGAATTGATGTTAAAGTTTGAAAAGCATTGGCATAAAGTGTCATGTATGATCACTAGGAAGTTAATCGGTGGGTAAGGGCAACATTAAAGAAAAGGGAAGCTACCAACAGCAGAAATTGAGAAAAGTTAACATGTAACATGAACTGGAAAAGTAATTTGGGGAGGTATGGTACATAGATAAAACACTGATATAAACAGTCATGATGAAAGAGAATTACTTTTTAAATTTAAAAGCAATAAAATTATTGCATAGGAGGAGAAAAAATACAGGTATAAATTGATTTAGTGAATAAAAATAAAAACCAGAAATATGTCTTAAGTGGGATGTTAAAACAATAATAGGGTTGGATTTTAAGGTAGAGCACAGATTATATATACCAATAATTATATAACTAAACACAAGAGGCGAGGTAAAAAGGAAGATTGGAAAGAATAGAATAGCCATATAAATAAGTCCATACATTGTGTGTGTGGGGGGGGGTGTGTTGCATGTAATTTTTTTCTGGTTTCAGTCAAAAAAAACCAAAATGCTGTGTTTTAAACATGTTGATCCTTGCATACCATCCTATAGATATTTAAAGCTTCTACAAAATCTCGGGTTTAGTCCGTCCTGTTGCTAGACAGCAACAGGTACTGTATCTAAAGTAGTTACAAAACTTTAAAAAAAATCAGTAGCATAGCAGAATATCACAACTAGAAAAATGAACATAAGTTGCAATTTTATTATATTGTGAGTGATTGCTCTGTATTAAAACATACTTTTTAGTTAGGCTGTTATCCTAACAGTTATCAGGTATACTCTGTATTTGAAGCATAGTGTTAAGCTTACCTTGGGGGTGTACATTTGCCATAGCTCTTAAATTTATATGTATTATTTTTCTTTTTCCACTAAAATGCTAAAACACAATTCTTTTGAAAGCTAGAACAGACCAAACTATTATCAGAAGATTATGGTACTGAATTCAGCATGGAATTTCATTTATAAAATCAAATTACTAAAGCAAAATATAATCTTGAAAATCAAGGAAGAGGAATGACCAGGAAGAGCATATGTTAAAATTTTACACTCAGATAAAAATATTTAATGTTATACTTGTATTTAAACTTATTTAAATAAATTTATTTAAATAAATTTATTTATCATATTTAGACTTTTTAAATAATGTCTATAAAGACAAAGCCTCTATGAATAAATTAGTACGCTTGGCTTTTTAAATGTTTTATGTAATATCTAGCAATTTAGTGTATCTGATAAATTATTTTTTCCTATGAATTCATAAAAAATTCACAATTATAAATAGCATATAATTGATTGACCCTCAATTGAGAGTGCTGTAAAATGGGGTGCAGGGAATCAGCTCTGAATAAGAAGTAACATATTAGATTGTAATGCTGATTTTTTAGAATCTCATATTTCTTCTTGTTGCTGTTTCCACTTAAATATAAAAGTTTGTGTGACTATGTCAAATTTAGTTCCATGATCTAAACGGATCTTTAATCACTTTTTTCTATGTAATATATCAAATTTCCTAACCAAAGCACAAATCAGCCCTTAATTTTTAAATCTTTACTTTTGCCATATTTTCTAGATTTATAATTTTCTAATGATTGCCAAAGGAACTCTCCTGAATGGCTGATGAAAATGGATATATCTTTGAGCCTATCTGTCAGAGAAGAGCAACTCTAATTATTTTAATATTATCTGATGCTAATTGCAGGATAAAATCAAGTTTCAAAATAATTTCATCCTGAAATGTAGTTTCTACCCAGCATTCAGAAAGTATCACCCCATTTTGTGACAAGGACTGGTTAATGTGAATATGGACATTATAAACATGTTATAAAATTAACAAGCACTATTAAATACAATTCAATAATGATATCTTGATGTTATTTTCATAATTATAATTATTGTTTCTTTTATAACTAGTCCTGCAATTCTGTTTAAGAATTGATCAGCATATGTTGTGTTTATATGTTCCAAAGCATAATTGAAAAGTGGTTTTTTTCCTTCTTCTGAAGATAAATTTATCAAGTGTAAATATAGCGTAAGTATATATAACCATATGTCCTTTTGCTAGAGAGGAAAGTTAAACAAACATTTAAAGATATTTAAAAGGGCTTAAGAGAGAAAAGCAGAATAAAAATGTGAAAAGGTATAAGGGGTTCTTGGTGCTCTCTGAGCTTGCTTGTTTTCTTGCGGATGTTTCATTACCAACTTTTGAAAATAATATAATTGCCTCCTTTGGAAAATAATGCAGCGATGTCAAAATTTGAAAAACGTTACAACCTGTACATCCCGGGTACAAGGTTTTCTTTCTATGGGACAGTAACCTAAAAATGTGTTTACAGAGATAATTAGTTCACTGATTTCTGTTATATTTTTGCTTATTTAAGGAAGAAGAGTCAGAATTGGTTAAGGCTTCTCATTAAGCTTTCTTTGTGATAATTACAGAATGCCTCAAGATTTTACAGACAATGGGCTGTATGTACCCTGATGAGATTTTGTGCATGGAGACATGCTGCTTGCTATGGCATCTGAGACTGACAAAGCCAATGCTCTTCTCCAGTTGTTCAGCACAGCGTCTGTTATTTCAAGTCTAGGACTGGGGATTTTCTGCTATTTAGCAGATAGACTTCTGCAATATTCTTTCATTCAGCAAACCTACTGGCTGCGGGCATTGTCCGATAATATGGTACATGGTATTATAGGACTGTGGTCATGGGCAATAGTGATTGGACTCAAGAAAAAAAGTGACTTTACAGAAGTAATTTTAGCTGGTTTCCTCTCCTCCGTGATTGATATGGATCACTTTATTCTAGCTGGCTCCCTTTCACTAAAGGTAAGCAAAGCATAAGTTTATTCACTTGAAATTTCTAGAGTATTTATGAGTAAATAAATCTGAAGATATTTTAAAGAATATAAGTGTTTCAAAAAATATTTAAAACTGTTTATATTAAAATCATGACTTCAACTTTTAGCAAATCTATTTAGTAGACTTCTAAATTATAACTTTTATTGCATAATGGGTCGCAACTTTGCAACTAACAACAACAATTGTGTAATAAAAGTAGTATTTTGTGTGGGCCACCCTGATATGACACCTCCTTGCCTGTGCTGAATTTGATTAAAAAGAAACTTGGGCAGCTTTTCATGCTGCTTGCTGTCCAAAGTTAGGGAATAATTTACATTTAATTTCATTCACGCTATTGATAGACCTACAAAGTTTGATACTATTGGCTCTATTGGATGTGTTTGCTATGAAAAAAAATAGCATAGTTTGTCTAACCCCAGAGGCAGATCTTCCCAGGTTTTTCCAGAGGAAATTCTGGAGTTTAATGTTAGTTGCATGGCAAACACACATTAGCCTTGACTAGTTTTCAGAGTAGTTTATTGAATAGTCTGGTTCAGTCATAATACTAAGCGATGGTTAGGATTTCATATCACATTGGTTAGCTTCACACAAAACACATTATGTTTTATTCATTATATCAGATTTTTATCCTGCCTTAGTATATTATGTGGAGGAATCTATGAGAATCCATGGGTGAACAAACAATTTAAAAAATTCACAGTGAAATTGGGGGCAGGGGACAACCATAAATGATTTTCTTCCAGAACTATCTTCATTGTCACCTGTATTTAAACTGGACAGGATGAAAGCTCATTGCTTATCAGCTCTTTCCATCTCTTAGTTGATTGCCATAGCTAAAAAATGGAAAGAAGCTTTCTAAACAATGGTGGGGATATTAAGACTGAAAATCAATAAAAACAGTCTAGTCTAATTGTTTAGAAAAACTATGCATTATATTGTTTCTGTACTGAGTAATGCCCTTGTCCTTATTTGACATTAAACCCCTTGGTGTAGTATTGTGGTTGACAGGTTGGTTGGTACCTTAGCTAAGGAGGGGGAAACTAATATGACATCAGATATAAGATATATCAAGATATATCATAATCCTCTGATAATGCTGCTCTGTTTGTCCCATTCCACACATTTCAGGTACTTCAAGATCCTTGGAATAATAGCAGGGTTTATTGTGCTATTTAATAGATTGGCCAACCAGAAATCAGGCTTAATATTCAGGCTTTTTAATCTTGTAATTTCCACATGTAATAGTATACTGGTATCATAAAATTATAGTTTATTAAAAATGCCTGATAGAGAATTATAACTGAGGTGTGCCCAGTTAAAATGCAGTTGGAAGAATTAACTTTAAAATTTCATCAGAAGAAGATTTAGTTTCTGGTTTGTGTTCCCTCTTTTTGGATGGTGTATTTAAAAGATATAGTTGAAATAAAAATTACCATTACAGAGCAGAGTGAAATAACTTAGCATTCAATTTTGATATTTTTTAAAGATCTGCCCTCTAACATTTTAAAACAGGTAGCAAATTGTTTTATCACACCTTTATCCAGTAGATGGCATGCTTGAATGTACTGAAGAATTTGAATGTACTGGTTTTGCAAGCAGAATTTCTAATTCTCATTTAACTCTTATTTACAAGCTTTGATTTAGTAGGATTAATGTTGCATTTGAGTTGTGTTTTTTTAAGTTTGATAGATAGATGGAAACACTGAAGGATTATCCATTCATGATGATCATCATAATTTATAAATATAGTAGTTGCCTTATTTCATAGAGGAAAATATCCATCTGCTCTAGAACTGAGTCTTTAAGGACAATCTGCTTAAAAAACCCAGAAGGAGCAAGTTTTTAATATGCTCAATTAGGTGTCCTCATTTTTTTATTATATTTTGATAATCCAGGGCATAAAGTTTTGACAATGACAGCTCTATCAGTATCAAACACTGATCAGAAATAATGCAACAAAAGTAATAATTGATATATCTGTGTATTTTTGTTATTATACTAAAAAAATGAATATTTCTTGCAGTAGGGCTATAACAACTTGTGTGTGTGTGTGTGTGCGTGTGTTATTAGATACACCTTTAGTTGAGGAACTCTGCTCAGCATCCCATATGCTCCCTCCTAAATTTGTCCACAATGGCAACCCTATTAGGTAGACTGGCTTGAGAGATTGTGACTAATCCAAAGACACCCAGATTGCTTTCATGGGAAATATGGATCTTGGATCTCCAGATAGCAGGCAATACCTGAACCACTTCTCCATACATTTCTCGATTATCTGGAGCAGGGGTTGCCAACCTTTTGGACCTCAGGGACTACCAAACGCATAATTTTATATCATGCGGAGCACTAATATGAATTTTGAGTGACGGTGGCTTGCTGATGGTGGGAGAGAGAGAGATCTGATCTAACCTCGGAGGGCTGGCAGTGATATTCGTTCTCTCCCCCCCCTCTCTCTCTCTCTCTCACACACACACACACATGCGCACACACACACACACACACATGGGTCCCTCACACATCCCCACCCCTTCCAAGGCAGCCACATTCCTAACCTGCTTTTCAGCTCCGTTCTCAGGGGGAGAGAGAGAGAGACAGTATCCTGCGATCCCAAATAAAGAACGATCGATCGATAGGAAAACAGGATGGGGGGTTTTCCTGCAAACTTTTTGGGGGATGTTCCCAGAGTCTCTGCAGAAAAAGCAGAAGCAGCAGAGACCCTGGGAAAATCCCAAAAGTCTGCAGGAAAATTCCCCAACCCGTTTTCCTACCGATCTATCATTATTTGGGATCGCAGGATACCGTCTCCAGCTCCATTCTTGGGGTGGGGGAGAGTGAGAGAAACTTTTGACTTCATGCAAGGAAAGCAGCAAAAATAGCAGAAGTCTTTCTTTCTCTCCCTCAAACTCTGCCAGAATGGCGCAGCTTCTTGGAGCAGGATGCCTTGCAGGGTCCCAAAGACTCATTTCTGGTGGAGTTTGGGGGAGAGAAAGAAAGACTTTTGCTGCTTTCCTTGCGTGCAGCCAAGGAAAGAAGTGGAAAGAAGCAGCCCGGTGGCCAGTCGAGGCACATGGGGCGAGTGGGGCAAGTCCCCCCTTCCCCCCCTCCCCTCATTATCTCATGTTCGCAATGCAAGCAATGCAAGCCTTGTGTTCCTGTGGGCCATATGGGCGGCGCAGCCTTGTGTTCCGCACAGCCTTAATTACTTTGGGGGGTGCTTGTGGGTGACATTTCTCTGCGGACCACCAACATTTTCTCGTGGACCACCAGTGGTCCCCAGCCCACTGGTTGGCGACCATTGGTCTGGAGTCCAAACTGCAATAATATTGCTAAAGAGTACAGCAGGATAGTTATAAACAACTCAGAATCTTGCTTATTATGTTGTTGTCATAATAAATTCTCTTCAAAAAGGCCTTAATCAACCTACACATATGTGAACAATATTGTTTTATTTAATCAGATATTAGTAACCTATGTACAAACAATTTGAAGTTGGGAAATAGGATAATTTATAAATGATTTCAAATGGGTACTGTCACTAGCAATTTTAAAGTAAAAGATACTACTTTTGTTCATTTAGAATTGGCATTTTCTACTTCACTAACTCCCAAGTCTGTCAGAAAAATGTAGTTAGAAACTTTTTGCCAAAATAAGAAAGTCTAAAATTGATATTGCTTATCGCTCCCTTGTTCCCTGTTCAGCAGCCAATAAATTTTAAAAATGAATAGTAGTTCCAGGTTAGCAACCAGAGAATGCATCCAAGCTATCAGTTAAATGGACTGCATTTACCAAAACTTAGAATAGAAGCAAATACTGGAACATACAAAGCATTAAATATAAAAATTCTACTGATAGATAATACTAATAATTACTACTTTCCAACTTGTGTGTTGATTTTGGTCAAAATGTGAATCAACTAAGTTGGTGCAGCTGTTGTATACCTTTTTTTTTCCCTTTAAAAAACCAGTATGTTTTTCCTTTCCAATGCAAGCTAAGATTGTACTTTTTTCCCCCGCTCCCTCTCAGGCTGCCCTGACTCTCCCGCAAAGACCGTTCCTTCACTGTTCTACTGTGATTCCAGTTGTGTGCCTGATGTTAAAGTTTGTTATGCATCTTCTCAAGCTGAAGGATTCCTGGTGCTTTCTTCCCTGGATGATGTTTATCTCCTGGACTTCGCATCATGTTCGAGATGGAATACGCCATGGCCTGTGGATCTGCCCCTTTGGAAAGACCGCTCCCCTACCTTATTGGCTTTATGTGGCCGTCACTGCAACTTTACCTCATCTTTGTTCTTTTCTTTTGTATTTGACTGGAACAAGAGAACTGATGTCAATAAAACATGGGATTCGTATTGATGTGTAAAGATATTGAAGATGGTTCTGTTCTTGGAAATAATTTTTTTCTTGATTATTGAATTAGGTCAAAGTTGATGTTACATAGCCTAATGAAACAACGTTGATTTCCTGTGGTCACTGCTGCACAAGGTATTGTGTGACTGGTAGGGGACAATTTATTTATTGATAGCTCCTTTTTTAAGATTTTATTGTTGTCTGTTTTTGTTAAGTGTGTGTAAATAGCTGCTGGTCCCAATCATTGTTTTTCTTGCCTGAACCTAGTGGCTAAAACCCCTTTTAATAAATGGATTCCAGTTTCAAAAATATTTCCTCTGATTCGGCATCTGTTTAACATCGGGACTAAAGGGCTTAATGTATAGAAGCTGTTACTGTAGATCTCTAGGCAGCTGACACCCTCTTCTTCCCTTGAAAGATATGGTGGTGGGGAGAAATGGATAAAATGCTATCTGTCTCAGCATTACTTAGATGTTCTCTTGTATCCTCTGCTTTAAATATTTGCCATAGATATTGTCAGCTGTATCTGCATCATTCTGAATATATGAACAACATCACTGATAAAAAGTTTAAAATTCAACACTGTATGTTATTTAGGGAAATATAACAGTAGTGACACTGCACTTTATTAAGAGATGGCAAGAAATAGGGACCTTTGGAGTTAATGCTAGTTCCTTAAAATCTATATTTTGGTGGGGTTGTGCAAAGCATTCAGAAGAAATTATTTGTCAACAGGTAGATATGCAAAAGAAGGGATTAAAAAAAAGAAATCACATGTTTTGCAACCCTTGCACATCAAAAGCTATCTCTGTGCCTGTATATGTGAATGCACAGACAATACTAACAGTGGAACCACCAGCAAAGGAAAGTGACTGGGCATACAGATGCATGCTGAGACTAACCAGGAACAAGTTTTAAAGTGGCTGCATCTATATTGCAAAAGACGCAGCTGCCTTCGCAGTTTGAAGAGTGGTGCTTCATGTTGTCATGAATGACACAGCATGGAAACTAATACTGTCTTTTGAATATTTTGTACTGTTCTCCTTTATGCCTCTAATTTCTTAATACAAGTGGAATGGGGTAGATGAGTGGAATATTATGTAGTAACATGCAGAATATTCTTTTGCCACTTGCAGAGAGGTTGTTTACCATTCAGAACACTGAGAGGTGTTCTGATTTTGAAATGAACTTATTTCCATTTATAAAGAATATAAAATGACTAAAACAAAGAATGTATTGTATTGCCTGTAACGTTCTGGTATGATCATAAATGCATTTGCTTTCAGGACTTTCAGTGAAATCATAACAGAATTAACATTCCTGGAAGAGTTGGTGCCAATTAAAATATGTTCTGCTTTTATTGAATGTTAGTATTCCTTTTGGTTTTCAAAAGAAAGTTGAAATGTGCAATATTGACAACTATCAAGAATTCATCCTAATCAATCCTGATAAATAATTTCTAACAGAATAACAGTTGGAAGGGGTTTGGAGGTCTTTTAGTCTAACTGCCTGGTCAGCAGGAGACTTTCAGACAAATGGCTGTCCAGTCTCTTCTTAAAAATCTCCAGTAATGGAGCATCCACAACTGTTCATTTTTGTTGTTGTTTTGTTGTTTGTTTCTGCTGTTTGATTTATATACATGCACACATCTTTGCTTATCCTGAGAAATACTGTTGTCAACAATACATAAGAAAGTGGAATCAGGGATGGTAATTCCTGTTAATGTTTCCAATAATACTTCATTTGCATTAAAACTGCTTTAAATCCCTGCTGTTGAAATATCCTTTCTTTCAAGGCAGCAAGCATACTTAATACAGGTAGTTCTTGACTTGTGGCCAGTGACTTAGCAAACATTCCAAATTATGACAGACCCCCAAAATGAGGCTTATGATCCATATTCATAGTTCAGGCCTCCCCACCTGCAGTCACATGACCCAGTTTGGGCAATTAGGATTCAGCCCACATTTATGGCTGTCTGCAGTGCTACATGCTCACATGACTGCAATTTACAACATTTTTATCAGAAACACTGATTTACTTCAAGTTTCCAGGAAAAACTACCCCAGAGTGCTGTCCCATACTTAACAGACAGCGTGCTCACTTAATGATTGCCATGTTTGCTTAATGACCTCTGCAAAAAAAAGGGTAAAACAGGGCAGTCTTATCACCCAACTTAACAATCCAAACTGTGGGCTCAATTATAGTTGTAAGTTGAGAGCACTGTCTATTTACACCTGCCTCTTGGTTTCCCCATAACTATCCCTGAAGTGAGTTGGACCGAGACAGAAGGATGCCCCCAAAGATTTCGTAAGTTTCATTTGCTCTCTTTCTCACACATAACATATTAGCAATAGGAAATTGCATCAAATAAAACACGTTTTGTCCTATGAAAGAAATTAGACCAACTCCAAATACTCCATTAAAACAATTCAAATTTTATTACATTAAGTGGTGCACACTTAAAAGCACTTAATATATAATCTTAAGAATTACCTGAAATGTAGGCAGAACCATTATTTTGAACAAACTGATTTACAGGGAAAATCTTGTCAGTGTATGTTTCTTATGCCATAAAGGTAAATTATGTTCTAGGAAAACTAAAGGGAGCAATGTGTTTTTGCAGCTATTCTTTAGCAAACAATTTCAAGTATATTGTGTTTTGAATGAATATATTTCAAGAAAACTTTAACAATTTCATCACAAGAAACAATGGGAAGTTGAAATAGCTCTTACTTCCTTGTTTTATTGACCTACATAATATAGTAATCCATGCTAAATACTACCTACTGTGCAACTTGCAGGAAAAATGTCCAAGGGGATTTTTTTTTAAAAAAATCAAGCATTTCCAGTTTGCATAGCATAGCTATCAAGATAAACAACACAACGATTTCTTCCGGTGCACATGAACAGAACAATGACAGCAATAGTACTGTAGAGTTTTTTGTTTTATTGCTTTTGGCTAATGCCCTTTCAAGTCCTCTAAAGCCTGCAGGATTCTTTATTAATGTTGAAATACTGAGAACATGGAATCAATGGTACCCTTTTGACCCAAGTTTAGAAAAACATAGAGGCAAAACTTTCAATCACCAATTTGTTTTTACCCAAAGAATCCTGGCACTCAAATTTGAACCCGGAATATTTTGTGATTTATGAATTGTCAGTGAATTCTATTAAATTCTATCAGTCTCTTTTAACATATGACCTTGTTCTCTAAAATGTCATTTGATTCACGTTACATTTTAGGTGCGCGCTTAAAAACTCCTAGGATGTAATATAAGAATTATCTGAAATGTAGGCAGAACCATTAAATAGAGAAAATTGGTTTGCAGGGAAAATCTTGTCAGTAGGTGTTTGTTATGTCGTAAATGTAAATTATGTGCTGGAAAAACTGACAGGATCAGTGTGTTTCTGTAGCTATTTAACAAACATAAATGCACCCCAGTTGTTTGTAATGTCTGCTGAATAATATATAAAAAGAAACTCATGGAGCCGACTAATGCAAAGAAAATGGGCTTGGATGATGTATCTTCTGTTGTACAGTTACCTTGACCACTTTGTGAGAGAATCTTTCATCTTTCCTATATATGGTATTAGAATGCAACCTAAGTGTTGAAAAAGAGAGCCAAGAGAGCCCTTCCCTTCTTGTTCCTCTTCTTTGTATTTTTTAAATTCCATTTTCAGTTCATCCACAAGTGATGCCATTGTAAAAAAAAAAAAATTCAAACAACCACTCAAGTGTTTTTAGTCATTCAAATATAATTTCCAAAAGTCCCAAAGTCACCAAGCAATCCAAATACACACAAGCTGTTTCTTTTGACACTTTCTTCTTTTTTCACTTTCTCTTCCTGGGGTTACTGTTTAGTTACAAAATTCCAGTTAAAATGTATCTTTTAGAAGTCTTGTTAGGATTTAATCAGATTCTTTTAAATTCTAGACAGTCTCCTCCTTCCGAATCCTGCTCTTATTCTTTTCCTCTCCCTTCCCATTTACAGCAAGAAAAAAAAGTTTTTTTTTAGTGTTCAGAAATCCTTATTATCCCCTTGACATTTAATTATCCAGTTTAATTACCTATTGATGCCAAAGCGGGTTTTTCCGATTTCTCATTCATTTCTGTTCGCTGTCAACGTTAGGAAGGAGAGTGGAAAAAAAAAAACTTTCCCTTTTCACTTTCATTCGCTGTTCTGAATCTTCCTTGGGAGCGATGTATCTTTTTTAAAAATTTAAATTCCAGGATACCTTAGTTGTTGCTTCTTATCCCGGTCAGCCAAAACTTTCACTTCTTAGCTTCCTCCTGCACTTTCTTTTCCGGCTGAGTGCTTCTTTGAGGCGGCCATTTCTGACCTCCGCTCTTACTGCCTTCAGGAAAGGGAGTTTTGCCAGCTGGGGAGGAAAGATGTGGCTTTCCTCGACCCTGCTGGGATCTCCCCCCTCTTTGCCACCTCTATGGGGTGGCTTAGCCCCGAAGCCAAACTGGTTCAGGACGCTCCAGTGGCGAGCCCAGGCAGAAACCGTGCACGATCGCGGATTCCTGCCTGCCGCCGAAGCCCTGCAAACCGGAACTCCTTCTTAGAAATGGCGATCTGTATCTACGAGAAACTACAAGAAAGGACTGCGCAACAAGAGGATTGGGACAAAGAAGAAGCCATCTTTAATGAACAAGTAACTTTACTTGGGGAAGAAAGGGGAAAGGAGGGAAAGAAAATGGAGACTTTAAGATCTAAAAAAACAACCAAAAAAGGAAAAAAATAAGGTGAAAAGTGGATATAATGTTAGAAAGCAACAGAAGGGGGGAATACAGAAGAGGGAAATGGAGGTGGAGAGACAAGGGGGTAAAAAGGGCAGAGAGAAGAAGCAAGGGAGGAAGGAAGGGAAGAGAAGCTTCAAAGGTGTGGAGCAAGATGTAAAGAAACTACTTATTTAGAGATAATGGGTAAAAACTTAACTGAAAAAGTGATTCTGCAAAGGTACATAAGATTGTATTGTTATATTTGTATTAGAAATAATGTTAGAAAATTGGAAACAACGTGATTAAAAAGTGGGATAAAATATTCAGTGAAACTTGTGAACAAAAGAAAGGAAAGGAAATAAATGAGAGAATTGAATTAGGAAGGAATAGGAACATTTTAATGACACAATGTTTTAAAATACAAGTGAAGTGGGGGGGAAATAATTATGGAAAGTTTATAAGTGTTCCCATTGAAGTATGATACTTATTTGAAAAGTAATGTGTAAAATGTTTAAGATTTAAATGAATATTAATATTAATGATAGATTTGAATTGGTGTGGATTGTTGTTTTAATTATATATTTATAATTTTTTCTCTTTTTAAAATATAGTGTGTAACTTTAGAATGTACTAAGCAGAATCCAAATGGAAGTTATGTATTATACTAAGTGTTATAAATTTAGGGGAAAGAGATAAAGGCGTCATACTCCAATCAGTGATTACAGGAGAAATTTTGTTTAATGAGAAAAGATAATAGACAACTGGAAACAGGACAGACAAAGAATATAAGTATAATGATCTGAACTGAGATGAGATAAATAAAATAAAACTAAGGAAGTTAAAAGAGGGGAGAAGCTATATAGAAAATGTAGAATGGCAATAAAATATGGAATGGTATATAAAATGAGCATGAATTTGAATTTGTGTCTGTACAAAGAGATGTAACCCGGGATCAAGCTGCTTTCAAAAAAGATGTTTTATGTGTTTATGTTTTATGTTTTGTTTGTTTGTGTTTGTTTTTGAAAATGAATAAAATTTGTTTAAAAAAAAAAGAATGCAACCTAAGTGGATGTGGACAGCTTGACATTGTATTAATTTTTTTATCCTGTTTCAAAATTCTTGATAAATTATTTTTCCTTTTAGAAACTATCATAACTATATAAAATTCTTTTGTTCATTCCTGCAAACAGAGGCAGGATATCCATTGCTATATAGAATGGACTTTTAATAACTTGCAACAATGATTCACCTATTTTTATTTTGTCATTAATGCTATATAATATATCAGTCCTGTCCTGGATTGGTAATTGATTGCTAATTGATTCTTGAGTGTTGGTAATTGATTGTCATAGGTAATAGGCATAGTTAATACAAAGTTATCTTTTTGGTGCTGAATCAGAGCCTTGTTTGAAGTTTAACCCAAGTCAGAACTTCTTATTTTCTCCCTCTTTTTAAGCAAGGGTGTTTTCTAAATAAAATTTTGCAAAGGAGCTGCATTTTCCTCCCTGTTTAGTGTACTGTTTGTCCCTGCCTCAAACAGAAATGTCATTTTTCTTTAAAAGTGAATGATTGACACTTAAGGACAAAAATGCTACAATGCTTTAACTATGAAAAAGTAATTGTTTTCTACTGGCCCTAATAGGAAAAGAAAGAGTTCTGTATAAAAATCATGTTTTGGGGAGTGCATTTTCTTATTTTAAAAAAATTGCAATTGACATTCTGTGAAGAGATTCAATGTTCACTTTAGAAAATCTAATAAATGTATTCGGCTGCTTAAGTTAGATGACGTCATACAGCTTATACTGCAGTACTTGGTTTAGAAGCTTGGTCATTTACCTACAGTACAATCTTTACAGAAATCAGTCCTGCAAACAGGTTCAAGATAGAGTTTTGTATGGATTAACCCATGGTTGAAGCCTAATGGATGTGTTCAAGCATTCAATAGATATAACTATGTCTGTGATAGTCACATTGCATTTCAGATGAGATATATTTGGATTTTGTATACACCTAGCTTCCATCCTGCCTCCACCCATGAT